GATGCAAGCAGCAGATACAGACAGCAGACGGCAGCCAGGTGAGAGGGTGTTTAGAATCCTCAAACACATCCTGTGATCTCAATCAAAAGGAAAAAAAGTGCTAGAAGAAGCAACAGCGTCGCTTTGTGTCACACAATCGTATGGGGATGATAATTTTTCATTTTCACGCCACCCGCGTCTATTCCGCCTGACACTGTTTGTAGCCAAGGCAGATAAGCAGGAAGAGTAGATTACGGTGCTTTCGGAGCATGAAAAACAGTAACTAAACTGCCAGTGACAGAAGCGTTTAACTCTCTAGCTGGAAACCTCTCTCCTCTCCCTTGATCCTCCACGACCATGTGGCACTTTTCCTACAGCGAGTTGTTTATTATGTTCCGAGCTACTAGCAAGTGATTAAAGGAGCTCTTAAGAATCAAAGTGTTATAAATGCATGGAAACACAGCCAGCTGTAAATGCCACAGAATTAGAGGCTTACCAGCCTAATTCTAATACATGGCAATTTTCAGCTTGATGCTGATATAAAGAAATTACTTTTTTTTAAGTAACCAATAAATGCAGTGAGGGAAACTATTACAGAGGGCCTATTTTTCATACCAGTATAAAGCTGAACCCGCCCTTTCTGAGCAGCTAGCCGTTTGTTTATTCATAACACTTCCATAAAAAGTGGATCAGACAAAAGGAACTTCAATATGAAGAAGAAGAGCAGCAGAAAAAAAAGAAATACTGCAAATATAAAGAAAGCTTTATGTTTGCAGAAGTAATCAGGTGGTTACTGGTATCAAGCGATACAGAGGTTTAAAAAATATATACATAGTTCAATATTTCAGATACCAGTTTTAAAAAGATGGTTCTATTATGAAAAAAAAATGTTTGACTGGACTTGACGTTCTTATCTTGATATGTTCTTAAGAGCTTGAGTCAGCAATAGTTTGCATCAGTTTTTAAATACAACATGTATTTTTGCATGCTTATTACACTGCAAAGACACAAAATCTTAACAAGTATTTTTGATCAAGTTTTCAGAGCAAATTTCTTAGTACATTTGAAATAAGACAAAACTTAATGACAACTAATTTAAGCAAAACATAGGAGCTTGTTTTAAGTCAATAATTCATTGATAATGATTAAAACATATTAGTTATAAGTGAAATAACCTCCCTGTGGCACAAGACATTTTAACTTGGCATATGGAAAAAATATTGTTCCACTGTCAAACTACTTCACTTACAATTAGTATTTTGTCATCAATATTAAGGAATTATTGACTTAAATCAAGCTCTGCCCTTTTGCTGAAAAGTTACTTGTGAGTTAGTTGTATTTTTATTTCAAGTGTGCCAAGAGATTTGCACCAAATTTTAGTACGAATTTGTATTTTTGCAGCAAAGGAGTCATTGTATGCATATTTATTGATACTCCCTACAGTGTTTTTCACTTATTAAACCTCCTCTCTCTGGTGGGCTAGTTCAAGTCTTAGTTTTGCACATTTTTGTTTTTAACATATTTAATGGGGTAAAGTGGTAAGTTGAACCACACCTTACTGCTAGGAATCAGAACAAAAAACACTGATCATGGGAGTGAATAGCTGGAAGGAAGGCATAAGTTAATGAAATTTGTGACTTATTTCATAATAAATATTCACTCTTAAAAGTGACTTTTAATAAGTTCCATAAGAAATGTGTTTAGACCAAAATATATATTTTTATGGAAGGAGTAAGTTGAACCCACCACAACTACCCCTTACACAGACCCTGTCAATAAATTTAATTACTGTGAAGTCCATTTATTTCAAGTGAAACATTATATAAATTAGAGAACACCTGATGTTTTATTATCTTTATTTCTCTGAATCGTTAAGATTTTCTGCTAGCAGCTAATAAAAACTCAACATTTAAAATTAAAATGTTATACCAGACCAAGAAAATATATTTTTAAAAATGGAAATGTGGTTTTAATCATAGTATGTTTCATACCTGTTTAAAGGTCTTTTTTACTTTTCAAAAGGAACTTTTTAATCTGACAAACGAGACTCATTGGGGAGTATATTTACTTATTGAATATGACCGTGTACTGTCAAATATTTGACAACATGTTCTTGAAACTAGAGTACCACCAGTCATTATTGTTGGAATAACATCAGGAGCTAGTTTCAGACTGCCAGTTTTAGTGTGTAAAAGGTTTCACATATATAAATGGCTAATAAATAGTTCATAGAAATGTTAATTAATTTCTAAGAACTTTATAAATTATTAATAACTGTTTATTATGCACTAATTAAGGGTGAAAAGAAGACAAAGTCTCCCTATTTCTTGCCATATAATGAGCCATATCTGTTCGCTTGCATATTATATCTAGAGTTGTTATGTTAAACATTAGCATAGCAACTCTTGTGAAAACAATAACCATTTCTAAATATTATTTTAATAGCAGTTGTTTTTCTTATTTAAATTCTAAAATAAAACTATACTGTGTTAAGCATCTTTGATTATATTTTATTTTACTGTGAACAGAATTTTTACTCCAGGTTATCACATCATCAAAACAGCCCATTACACAATGGGCTGTTTTGTTTAGAAGATACCAGTTGGCTCTGTGTGGAAACATTGGCATGCAAGTCTTTTGTAAGGTTTCATTTGTTTTCCCTTGTTTTTATGCATTGTGTTGTTTTGTATCATCTCTTTGTGGACCACAAGTCCACAAGTAACTAGAGTAATCAATCAATAAATTCAGAAAATCTAAATAAAGCTAATTGCCCTCAAAATAAAAAATTCTGACATCTGATGGATGAACCAGCCTCTATCATTCATAAATGCTCCATATGTCTGGATCAAAACTTTTTATCAGGCAAGCCCTTTGTATCTCTCTGGATCCATATGGAGCAAAATCCCTGTCTGTGTTTCTCCCTTCTGACTCTGTCACACTTCAAGGTGCTTTTCACAACAAGACAAATGAATTGTGTAAGCTGCCATGGGGATTTCTGCGCAATCTCAAAAATCGCATTGGGTAATAATTAAGCTGATTTGGCCAGATTAACATTAATGAGGCAATCGTTTGGAAGATTTTGGCACTGATCCTTCATCTGGAGCAAGCGGTTGAGAGACCCCAGTGAAGCCAACCTGGCTGGTATGTGATGAATGTGCTGGAGACAAACTGCACTGACCAAACTGAGATATCACACTTCCTAAAACTTTTGCACAGGACCAGAGCTGAGGGAAAATTAAGTCAATTTCAGAGAGATCCTGATCATGTCTTTATTTCTACACTTAAAATATTGAGAAAAAGATTAGGTTAACTCAGTAAATTACTGTGATAAATTCTGTCTTCCCATAGTAGGATAAGAAGCAGCGATTTGTAATAGAGAATGAAATAATGTATCAACTGAACTGTTTGTGTGTCTGAATTAATTTCTTTACATTTTAGCTTTCTGAAACATTGACGTTTATTCCCAATAAATGATCTGAGGGGAGAAAAGGCACTACACTGAAAAAACACAAAATCGTTTTTTGTCTAGTTTCTAGTGCAAATGTCTATGTACACTTGGAATAAGACAAAGCTAACTAACATGCAACTTTTTTAGCAAATTATAGGAGCTAATAATTCCAAAATAATAATTTAATTATTATAATTATTAAATAATAATTTAATAATTTATAGGAAAAGTGTCTTTATTAAAAGGCAAATAAATTGCCAGTGGAACTAAATTCTTCTCATCAACATTAAGGAATTACTGATGTAAAAGAAGCAGTTGTTGAAAAGTTACTTGTACGTTAGTTTTGTCTTGTTTCAAATGAAACAAGATATTTGCACTAAAAACAAGAACAAAACTGTCCAGATTGTGTGTTTTTTCTATGTACTGATTATCTCGCACTTCTTTTGCAAAGTTATGCAAAAACCATTAAGAGTTCACAGGAAGTCACCACAGGTTTAGTTGCATAGATGTATATGGAACTTAAGTACAACATCATTAGGATTTATGTTTAGGTTTTTCCTTATTTTCACCATTGAGCTTGCATTTGTTTTGTAACATCAAAAATTCTTTGGGTTTCTCAAAAAACTTGGGGCCACAACCCATAGCCCCTGTAAGCAATTTCTAAAGTCTGGGTGATATTGGCAGGAAAAAAGAGTCTGAATTCAGTTTTTGTTGAAGTGTTAAGTATTTAGCTGGATTCATTATAGAAGATTACTTCATTTTCTAGTAATAGTGAATACCAGCCTTGTTGTACCTAAATGTTAAATGCGAGGGATACTACAGCATCCCTCGCATTCCCATCTGTCAGTTAACTAAATTAAACAGCAGTTTAACTCTCAGCATCGCTATACAGGGTTTTTAATTTTACATTTAATTTTAAACTATATCAAATCAGTTCACATCTAAATTTCAGAACAAATGTATCAGTAAACATAAAAAATGTATGAAATGGCTACAAAAACAGAAGGAAGTATTCCAAAACAGTGCAAATAGTGACACTGAACTGAAGAAAAACATATGGCTCAACCAGGTTGGTCCTCAAACTTTCACGGCAGCACAGTTGATCATCTAAAGTTCCCATAAAAAAATGGTGATGGGTGTGAAGACTAACCAGAGTGCCAGAAAGAAGCTAGCTGCAGCTACAAAGCAATCCATTCTTGTTTAGCAAATAGGTAATTGACATACTTCAAACTTCTCCAAACCGAGCACCTCTCCACATTTCCTTGCCATTCCTTCCTTTGCTCATCTTTGAGCTATGATTACGCTCCCACTTCCTAACCTCTGACCCTTCACTGCTCACCATGCTGGCTTCAGAATGGCGGCTTGTCCGTACCCCCAGTAGTGCACCTGTTCAATTCCCCGACTCACCCACAAATACACACAAAAAAACAGTCCAAAAGCATGAGAACAAAACCCCACATACATACAGTGTTTCAGTTAATTATTAACCCAATTCAATAAAGCATTCACACACACCTGTGCAAAAGCTGCAGTCTGGTGAATGATTGTGTGTTTACCTTTTGCAAAGACTTACTTATTGAATGCAATCTCCAGTTCCAGCGGTAGTAAAGCGCTTCCTCACCCTGCGGGAAAAAAGACAACAGAGAATTATCCAGAGTTAGGGGAAATAAATAATGGCAATATTTGTTGTCAGAGGACTTAAGAGGCAGAAACACCGAACGCATGAAAAGCAAAACAGTCCACAAAAAGGTCAGCAGTTGATCAGACTGTGTGACGTGCACAAACCTGTCTGATATGCTCTGAGAAATCATCAACGCAACTCTATCCTCTGGATTCCTGGGCTGTTTGCCTTTTGCCCCACTCAGAACCGGCCGCTAAGAATGGGAGCACTATCACCTGAGGTCTGTCCCAGTGCTACAGCATCCCTTGCATTCCCATCTGTCAGTTAACTAAAACTACACACCCACTGAAGATAACAGGTGAACAATGAGCCCAGTCTGTGACTGAATGGTTTATTTGCAAGACAAAAACCATTCACATTAGTGGATGCTCCTTTGTTACCCCGCCCCTCCCTAACTAGTGCTGCTCAGCACCCTATATCTTTACCTGCTCTACCCTGATTCAACTTCCTTGGGTTGGCCCTGATCTGCATGCACCAAGCTTCCCAAGAAGGAGCACTCGACCCAGGAGATGAAATACAGAAGAAAGAGAGAAGGAAACAAAGTCTCATTTTTATGGTAAACCTAAAAGTGACTCTGGGGCTCTATAACAGGTGAATTTGAATAAAGGCATTAAAGCATATCCAAATATGTCAGAGAGAAAAAAACCCTCTCTCTCACTGTTCTTTTGGCCGTTTACATTTGACAGTCAAAATTGTGGCCAAGCGTTTTGCCAGCAGTGTTTATCTAAGACAAGAGTAAAGCGAGGTTAATAATAAAAAAATACCACAGCACACACTGTCCAGTCTTAGTTTAAAGCTTACAAGTTGACTGTTGTTTAAAATCGGTCAGACTCCCTTCAGGTGCAGTGTGTTACCTATACAACAACATAAAACAACATGAATTTTAGAAAATTTGAACAAATAAATCTAAACGTAGAAGAAAAAAAATCAGCAGCTGGTGGAATTTTCAACCTGAAAATTCAACCTGAAGGAAACTTGAAGAACAAATCTTTTGCAATCAGCTATGAAAACATATGCAGATGCAATGGCTACAGAAAGTATTTAGACCCCTTTACACTTTTCATTCTTGGTTTAATTGCAGCTGTTTGCGAAAAGAAATAACAGCATCCCATCTTGACAGAAAAAAAATAAAATTTAGACATTTTTGCAAATTTATAAAAAACTGAAATATCACATGGTCATACATATTCAGTCCCTTTGCTGTGACATTCATTTCTATATTAATATTTGCTGTCCATTTCCTCTGATCCTTGTTGAGATGGTTCTACTGCCTCATTAGAGTCCAGCTGTGTTAATTAACCTGATTGGACTTGATTAGGAAAAGCACACACCTGTCAGAGCAAATGAGAATCATAAGGTGGAAGGAGCTACCCAAGGAGCTCAGAAAATGAATCGTGGTAAGACACAGATCAGGCCAAGGTTAGGTTGAAGGTTCCTAAAGCGTACAGCGGCCTCCATAATCCTGAAATGGAAGAAGTGTGGGACGACCAGAACTCTTCCTAGATCTGGCTGTCCAGCTAAACTGAGCGATCGTGAGGAAAGAGCCTTTGTGAAATAGGTAAAGAAGAACCCAAAGATCACTGTGGTTGAGCTCCAGAGATGCAGTAGGGAGATAGGACAAAGTTCCACAAAGTCAACTATCACTGCAGCCCTCCACCAGCTTTATGGCAGGATGGTCCGACGGAAGACTCTCCTCAGTGCAAGAAGCATGAAAGATCGTATTGAGTTAGCCAAAAAAAACAAGAAAGACTCCCACACTGAGAAATAAGTATGTGTGGAGAAAACCAGGCACTGCTCATTACCTGTCCAATACAATACAAGTGAAACACAGTGATGGCAGCATTATGCTATGAGGGTGTTTTTCAGTTGCAATTGAAGGAAAAATGAATGTGGCCAAGTACACATGGCCAGGATATCTCTGGCCAAGTCCAAAGATATCCTGGAAGAAAACCTCTCCCAAAGAGCTCAGCACCTCAGATTGGGCTGAAGGTTCACCTTCCAGCAAGACAATGACCCGAAGCACACAACTAAAATAACAAAGAAGTGGCTTTGGAACAACTCTGTGACCATTCTTGACTGGCCCAGCCAGAGCCTGCACCTAAACTCAGCTGAGCATCTCTGGAGAGACCGGAAACTGGCTCCACCAACGTTCTCCATCCAACCTGATAGAATTGGAGAGGATCTCAAGGAAGAATGGCAGAGGATCCCCAAAACCAGGTGTTGCATCATTCCCAAGAAGATTCGTGGCTGTACCAGCTCAAAAGGTGCTTCTACTCAATACTGGGCGATATCACATGGTCATACATATGACCATGTGATATTTCAGTTTCTCTTTTTTAATACGCAACAATTTCCACAATTCTGTTTATTCTGTGAAGATGAGATGGTAAGTGTTCAGTCATGAGAAATAATATGAACTTATTTATTTAGCAAATGGCTGCAATTAAACAGAATGAAACATTTAAATGAGTCTACTTTTTGTACTCACTGTAACTATCTGGTAGCATGACTATGCAACTAGACAGATTTTATGTATGTCCTGTACTAATAAAATCTGTTTTTTTGTTTGCTTGTTTTTTTTAGCATCAGTGGGATACTTAAATGGGCTGGACAGTGGCACAGTTGGTAGCTCTGTTGCCTTGCAGCAAAAAGGTCCTGGGTTTGATTCCCGGCCCAGGGTCTTTCTGCAAAAAGTCTGCATGTTCTCCCTGTGCATGGTGGGTTCTCTCCGGGTTCTCCAGCTTCCTCCCTCAGTCCAAAAACATGACTGTCAGGGTTAATTGGTCTCTCTAAATTCTCCCTAGGTGTGAGTGTGTGTGTGCATGGTGGTTTGTCCTGTTTGTCTCTGTGTTGTCCTGTGACAGACTGGCAACCTGTCCAGGGTGACCCCGCCTCTCGCCTGGAAAGTAGCTGGAAATTGGCACCAGCACCTCCCTGACCACACTAGGGACAAGGGTGAACAGAAAGTGGAATGCATGGATGGATGGGATACTTCAATGAAGTCAGCACAGAAACCACATGAAGCTATTTCAAAGAAACTGTTTCCTCAAGAGACGTCTGTAATTTATTTGGGCTGTGAAGAAGTGATAGAGAGCTAGAATTTCAGCGGATAAAAAAAAAAAAACTCGATGTATTACTGTCTGTTTAATCTGTCTGAGCTTTCAAAGATTTTCAAGAATACTAGATTAGGAAGAATTGCATAATCTTAAAGTTAAGGTAATTAAATAATTACTTTCTCAAGGAAGTACAAGATTCTAGGATATTTTATTTTCATACCAGCTTTGCTTGTTTGTGGTATGAAGTTCGGATTTGGGTCCCAGTTTAAGAAATATAATTAATAAATAAATACACTCTACAACGCAATACCTATCCTTATTTAATTTATGTTTTTATGCTATACTTAAGTCTCACAAAACTGTATGGGGAAAATTTTCTGCCATAATTCAAAACTACACATTTTTGGTTTGAAAGCAGGATTCATGGCTGTCTTTTCAAAACTTGTAAGCTTGTACTCAAAACTTCTGCTCTCTTTCAAATGTTCACTGTGCCTTCGTAAACCTTTGTCCTTGTGCTCAAAACTTGTCTCTGCTCGGATCAAATCTATTCTCGCAAACCTCTGTTCACTTGCGAAAGAAGTGTCATCGATGCTTCATTGCACACTGCGAGATGTAAACAGTGGTAACAAAAACCGCAGTAAACTCCCGTGGTTAGAAATACGTCAACATTTCACTGTCATAAGTTATAAGGTCTCAAAGCAGCAGCTTTTTATCAGTCTACAGTTAGTAATAAAGGTAACTTTTTCCTGCAGTAAAAAAAACAAAAAAAAAAACATGCTGACTGTGGTCCCATAAACGGCAAATAAATGATCAAATAAAATGATTGCACCTATGGGATATTCATCTGTGGAATCCTGAATATATAATCTCACATCTTCCTGGTCTGCATCAGTTGTACATAATCAAATATCTTAGGATTTTGGAGTTGATCTGGCGTTTGAATCTGGGCTACACTGGGATTATAAGCATCACTTCAGCCAAAGATTAACGGTAAATGTAAATAACAGTCTTCCAAATGAATTGATCAGAAGTCGGCAAGATGGTGAACAAGGGGATTTCCGCGTCTCATGTCGCTCAAGTAGAGGAAATCCCGCAAGCCGCAGTGGTAGTTCAGCAGGACCAAGCGCAAGTTCAGCTCAAAATGAACACTTAGATGAGAATTATATTTTAGCTTACGGTAAAACTGAGGTAAACGCTTCAGAATCAACTGGACAGAAAAACCAAAAGCAAAACCGCTCCACGGTTTTTGGCAGCTTTAGACAGGAAGACAGTCCCATCCACCTTTTAATTATGGGTCATGTTTAAAACATGAGTCAACACATAGCTCACTGAGAATTCTTCTAAGGCTGGAACAATCTGCAGGAATGGACCATTCCCACATAACTACTCTATTATTGTGATTCATTACACTTCAATTAACATATCAATGGAACCGTAAATTAATGGCGAGTGGTGACAAATGACAGATATTTTTGGCTTCAAACTACCAAACATCATTAATTCCCATCACCTGAAAGAGCCCTGGGAGCTAAATGAGTTTACCCAATGCATAACATCCATTTAGATAAACGTTCCATCATTTTAATGACGGAACAGTAGAACTGGAGAGAAAAAAGGCAAGAACAGAATCCAGGAAGCAGCTCTTTTTTTTTCTGGTATTATAAACGCACATCTTGTAATATCTAAACAGATAATTGTCTCCATTTCCAACAGCACCAGGCGGTAATGTTGCCATTCATAGCAGTGGGCGTGCAGAGATCGCAGGCTGAGGATAAACAAGCGCACGCTGCTTTACCCAGCTGGGAAAACCAAACCCATCACACACTCCTACATTGAAATTTTAAGGAATAGAACAACTCCTGGTTGAGATAATTATCCTTCTAGG